AGAGGAGGCTGAGGGGAGACCTCCTGGCCCTCGGCAACTCCCTGCCAGGAGGGGGCAGAGAGGGGGGATGAGTCTCTGGAGCCAAGGCCCCAGCGCCAGGCCCCGAGGGAATGGCCTCAAGCTGCCCAGGGCAGGGTCAGGCTGGCTCTGAGGAAGGATTTCTGTGCAGAAGGGGCTGTTGGGCGTTGGAATGGGCTGCCCAGGGCAGGGGGGAGTCCCCGGGATCCCTGGGGGGGTTGAAGAGTCGGGCTGAGCCAGCGCTGAGGGATCTGGGGGAGTTGGGAACGGTCAGGGGGAGGGTCATGGTTGGGCTGGAGGAGCTTCAAGGGTTTTTCCAACCGAGATTCTGGGATTCTGTCCCCGGGCACCACGGTGAGACCCCTGCAGAGGGCAGAGCGAGTGCTGGAGGCTTCACCTCTTGCTCGTGTTACCCTGCTCAGCCCCCCTGTCCCAGCCCTGGCACTGACTTCTTGGTGAAGGCAGAAACCAGGAGCTATTGGGGCTGGCAGAGGTGAGGAGCTGGATGTGAACTTCTGTGCTTTGAAGGCAGCTGAAGGATTTTTCTGTTTCTTATGGCTTTTTCCAGCAGCCTTTGCCCACTCTGCGCTTGGGTCCCTGTGCCCATCACTCGTGTGCTGAGCGGAGCTGCTCTCATTGCTGGCATTGGTGCCCAGGGTGCAGCATGGGCAATCAGAATAGTTTTTTAATATCTCTTGAGCTGTTTGTCTTCAGATTTACTCTTGGAGACAAGGTCAGATTTTCCCTGGTTTAACAAGGCTCCAGTAGAGTTTTCTTCTCTGATCTGAACAGGCTGAGACTCAGGATGGTTAATTAGTGATTTCTGATTGAGAACATGAGCGGTCAGGGCACCTTCTCTGGCAGTTTCATTTTTCCAGAAAGCTTTTCCATCCGTAAACCTCACAGCATTGGCTCTTCCAGTAGCTGGGAGCTTATGGGAGAGGGTTGGAGAGATTCGATGGTAATAAAGTGATTTAATGATGTTCTCCTCAAGCAGCTCTTAGTCCGAGTGCTCAGAGCACTTGCTTGGAAGTTTACGTGAACTTTGCTCTCCAGTATGCTTAGCCAGGAATATCACAGAATTACTTATTGTCTGGTTAATGAATAATTCAGTTCAGCACAGACAGTTTAGAAGCTGTAGATGTAGGTAGTTCAGCTGTGGCTGGGCTGTAGCTCTTGTGCCCACAAAGGGCTCGGTGCTGGCTGTGATGGATGCAGACTTTGAGGAAAAGGTCAAATAATTTTTTCTTTTTTCTTTTTTCCCCCAAGTACTGCTTGTGAGGAGCCTTAAAGCCCTGTATATTCAAGGGCTAGTTAAATCTTGCCATGCTGACACATGCTCGGTCCTCGTGTGGTGCTGGGCGTGAGCCTCCCTCAGAGCGAGCGCCTTTGGGGAGGAGAGGTTGGTGTTTTGGGACAAGATGAGGTGTACCTATGGAGTAGAGCTGTATAGATCCCTGCCCAGGTCCCACCTACTACTGGATGCAAAATAGGTGGTGTGGGTTTTCACTCAGCAGCTTCAGATAGACTTGGAGGTGGATGGATTTGATTGTGTTTGTGTGTTTTGGGGTCAAACACAGCGAGTTCCTGCGGACAGCAACGCCTCTCCGGCAGCTGGCTGCTGCGTGCTCTTCACCACATCCCGCAAATTTTAAAGGCTCGACCCTGTAGAGTGAATTTTTGCTGTCTGTGCAGTCTGTCATGGGAAAAGGTAGAGTCAACAGCTGGGTGGGAGGCATTTGGCACCAAGGAAACACAGGAAGCAACCCCAGTTTCACGGGCAAGTTATTATTTAGCTCGGCTTATTTTGCAGCCGAAGTGCCTTTGGCACAGTGGAGGCATTTTAAAAACACTGACCCTTAACCTCGAGTGACTGAAGTCTGAAGGTCTGGGAGCAGGCACTGCGCTGGCGGCCCCACAGCGGGGTGCTGATCATAGCCAGATAATTAATAATCATCTGTATGGGCTGCAAATTTTGCCACCTCCTTGGACACCAACTTTCCCAGAGCAGGGACTGGGAGGGGCAGCAGGACGTGGCAAAGCATCTCAGTAGCGTGGGGTCAGGTGAGCCCAGCTGTCACAGAGCTGCCACAGCTTGTAGAAGCTGCCTCTCCGCTGCCCTTTCCTTCTTCCCTGCATGATGTAGAGAAACATTTACTTTTAATGCTGTGTTTCCTGCAGCTGAGTTTTGTTTCATTTTAAATACGGGCCTTGATTTCCACCGAGCTTCTTTACAGAAATCTCAGTTTTCTCTGACATGTGAAACAGATCCCTGTATATATTTCTCACAGTTCGCATTCTTGAACATATCGGAGCCCTGCTGACCTGCAGGTTCACATCTACCTTATCAAACACAGCAAAGATAATGCAGGTGCATGCCCAGACCGGCCCACACCTTGCCACCTCTCCCTTCCTGGCAGGGACGAGAAAATATTTTACAGAAATGGCTGCTGCAGGTTTCTTTTTCTTATTAATCAGATTTAAGTATTGGAGGCGTATTTCAGTCCTCAAACCTCCATATCCCCGTGTTAAAGATGCTGTGCGTTTCTCAGGAAGAGGCATGGGTTGTGTTTTAAAGCTTAATTCATCTCCTTTTGTCCCATAGCTGGTGTTACTTTGCAAGCTGGGTGGAGGGGCAGAGGTACCCAGCTCCCCACCGCTGGCAGCGTATCTTCATTCTGCCTGAAAACAGGCACTGATTGCATCTCTTTCCTAAATTATAGTCCAGAGCAAACTGCATCGAGCCACTTGCTTTGGGGTTTCCTTCTGTTTGCTCTCCCGCAGCAGAAGCGGAGCCCGGACGCCGCCCCGTTGGTTGGTTTGGTTTTGGCAGGACTCGCAGTGCTGTCGGGTGGCACCTGGGTCTCTGTCTAATCCAAGACTTGCTGTGTTTTGTTGCCTGCAGCTGAGCTGAGGAGCCAGAGCAGCCCAGAGGCAGGTTTCTGCTCCACCGCCCCTGCCTTCGCCTGGGCTTGGCCACTGCTTCCCTCGACGGCTTGGCCCGCCTGTTCCCTGAGCACGGGTGCAGGCGATGTACCCGCTCTCTGGTACATGACTAATTATTAAAATTATGCTAGACTTTGATCTCTGATCTAATTAGCTTACCTTTGTGGTAGAATTATCTAATCTAAGACTGACATGTTTGAAGTCTATCCATAAGCACTCCTGCCAGGCCTGCCTTCACCAGGAGATTAGTCACCAGGATGGGAGCAAGCTGCAGCAGAAACACGCTTGGCTGTAACTTTGGTGGACTCATGATGCTGTTCGTATTTTTTTCAGCTTGTCTGGGGTTATGAGCAGCTTTAGGTGGAAGTTTCCATGCTGGCTCCTGTCCTAAGCTTCCAGTCCCAGCCGAGTCTGGTCGTGAGGCTGAGTGATGGACAGTGAGTCAGCCCTGCAGGTTGTGGGGATGGAGAGGAATTTGGAAACATGTCAGGGCGGGAAAAGAGATTTCATTCTGTGCATTTTCTTGCATATGTTTTGTCAACCCCAGAAGTTACAGAAACGCAGCAGGTTTTGTGCTGGCGAAGGTCAGGTAAACTGGAAACTCTCCCTAGCTGGGGATGGGGCGGTCCTTCACCCTTCTCCATCACTGTTTTTTTTTGGTGGGGAGCATCTCGGGCCATGGGGAGCCAGGTCCTGGGTGTCAGGGGACCTGATGGGTGCGTGTGGGGGAGATTGTGCTGGAAACGGGGCCAGGGTAGCCCCTGAGCTGCACACACCAACTGCCCACTGAGCTTTTGGTATTACTGGCCACTCATTTGTTTCAGAGATGCTGGGGTCCTGTCAGACAGCTGCCTGTGTTTCAGCCTGGTGGGGTTTGCCTGGAGAGGCAACCCCTCTCCCTTTTGGTTTTTTTGTGCTTGCAGCAAGGCATTCCGGCAGCGACCGTCCCTGGGAAAACAGTGCTGGTGCCAGCAATGGGTGGAAATGTGGCTGGGGGGAAACTAAATTAAATTACATGGAAATGTGTGTGTCTCCAGCCAATAACCCTTGTGCCTGGATGAGGCTCAATGCAGCGTGGTGGCTGAGTCTGAGCGCAGGCCCTTCCTTCTCTTGCAGTGGAACCTGGTATGCGAGGACGACTGGAAAGCCCCGCTGACCACCTCCCTCTTCTTCGTGGGGGTCCTCATCGGCTCCTTCATCTCGGGGCAGCTCTCGGACAGGTAACACCGCTGCTCCCTGGGCAGAGCAGGGCAGACCTGGTGCCACGGCTGGTGCATTTGTTTTTAAGAGATGTAAAGGAGTTAAATGTCCAATCCTCTTGAGTTTTAATCAAAATGAGGTAACTGGCCTGATGTCTGCAAAAATCCCAGACTTGATCTACCCCAGGTGTAGGATCACCACCTCTTGGGCACTTCAGAGACAAGAACTGATATCTGTGCTTTGCAGATGGATGTGGTGTTTTTCGCTTCACGACCACATTTGTTTCTTTATCCAGGCTTTTTAGTAGTTTAAAAGATGTTGTTCTTTGTCACACATTAACTGACAAGCCATTCTTGGAGCTGCAGGATAGAAACTTGTCATTTGAATGGAAGCTCTGCATAGAAGAGATGGTTTGCTGGAAATAAAGTAAATGTCTCTGAGAGGGGAAAAAAAAGGTAACCTGTAAATGAATAGCAATCATGTCGTAGCACCTAAATAGATGTAAAATATCAAAAAAAATCATTACAGGCATTTGATAATTATCTCAGCAGTGCTGAAGTTTTGGCCTTACAGGTGTTGAATGCAGAATATATGTTCCTCCTGCAAGTCTGTGTCCCTCTGTATACAGCCCGTATCGTTACAGTGGGGTCTCCAGTACTGCTTTGGTTGCTGCCTGTTACCGAGGAAGTCGTGAGAGCAGCGGCGTTCCTCTCGGAGTTTGGCAGAGGGGTTTCAAAACTCGATGGGAACCTTAATCCAAAAGCCTCCAGCATTAAATGCCATGTGATCCGAATTTAATCTCCTGCTCCCCTGCAGAAGTCAGTCAGTGTTACTGTTTGAAAGGGAGCTGAGGAAGTTGCTAAACCACGGGTGCCGTATGGCCCCTGGGAGCGGCGTGGCCGGCCAGCCTCCTCGAGAGCCCCGTCACCTTCTAGCTTCAGCTATTCCTTGAATTATTTTGGAAGTCTTTTGTCAGGAAAGGGGTATGTTCTGAGCCTGTACCTGAGCCATTTCCCCTGTGCTGCTGCAGAAACCCTTCCTAAGTCAAGGGCTGCTGCAGGCAATGGGCAATGCAAACCCGCGTGTAGGCTTGCTCTTACCTTTCCATAAGACAATGCCGCTAATGCAGAGAAGCGGGTGAGAGCAAGGGTGTGACACGTGTGGGAACTCAGAGAGACTGAACCCAGTCGATAAAGCTATTTAACACGCTCAAAGCATAATGCTGTTGCATGTGTAGATGCCAGTAGCCTAAAAGCCATCATTTCCTAACTTTTGGCTGTGTGGCTTTGTAATCTTCCTGTGACTCGCTTATATACTGTTGTCTAGTCTCCTCAGTCCTTGTCTAGTGGCTCCCTGAAGTTTCTGCTCTTCATTTTTTCTTCTTGGTTTATTCCCTGTGTCTTGGAAATTTTGATTACTTTTAGTGTTTATGAAGATCAACAAAATTCTTTAACATGAACCAAAATTCAGGTTGTGCTAAGCTGCGTCACTCGAGGTTGGATATTTGTGCTCTCTTACAGAGCCCCACTCCATAAATACGTGCTGTTTCAGTAATAATCTTTGTCTTTTGGAAAAGGTTTGGCAGGAAGAATATCCTTTTTTTGACGATGGCCGTGCAGACTGGCTTCAGCTTCCTGCAGATCTTCTCTACCAGCTGGGAGATGTTCACAGTGCTCTTTCTCATAGTGGGGATGGGACAGATCTCTAACTACGTGGTGGCCTTCATACTGGGTATGAATATGTCCGCAGTAGATTAAATGCTTGCTTAATATACTGTGAATTTTTTTTTTCCCCTCTGAACCTGCATCATTTAATTAGACAGCAGTAAATCCTCACTGATACAATTCCTAATTTAGGCCAGTGTTGTTGTTTTTTTTTTCTTTCTTGGATACTTCAAGCCTATATTTTCTGTAGGTTTAGAGGAAAATAAGAAAGCAGGAAGACTAAATAAACATCCATTTCCCTCCCTTTTTTGAGAAGTTCAAGGCAGCATTCAGGGTTTGTTATCAGCAGCAGCAGGTCTGAGAGAGAGAAAACATTTGGGTTCCTCCCTGTGTCTCTGCCCCTTTGCAGAGGGGTCAGTGCGTACCCGGGTGCAAACCTTGAAGCAAACCCAACCCTTCCAGGCAGGACTGGAGCAGAGGAGCCAGGTGGGTGTCAGAGCCCCATTAGTCATAAAAATCACTGGTCTTGGAGCTGAGGTTAGTGGTAATGTCCCTAATCTTAGAGGCCAAGGTCTGTTTTGTTTTCTATGGGGAGCACTGGAAGAAGGAGCCAGTGACTGCAGGGAGGCTGCCTGGCTGCAGTCAATGCCTGGGGATCCCCTGGGGAAGGAGGGACCCCGCAGAGCTTCCCACTAGTCACAGGGTTTTCAGGAAAGGCAACGGCACGGGGGAATTACGGCGATGACTGACGGGGAGCTGGGATTTGCAAGAGCTGTCTTTAAAGTGTGCACACGTGTATTTATGTCAGCTTTTAAATCAGTGCTGTCAAAATGACAATTTGTAGATTGTTATGCGAGCTAGTCTAAATTAAAACCATATATGAATAGTTAATGCTGGTCTCTCCTACCCCATGAGGTTTTAATGGGGGAAAAAATAGAACAGAAGAGCATCATATGAAACCAATGCTATGGAGGGGATATGGCATCGTGTCCCCAGGCAGCCGTGAGTCACCGCTGGGAGTGACAGAGGGAGAGTTAAGTAGGTCAGGCTGTCAGTGGGGGGATCCCTTGTGCTTGCAGCTGCCATTGCCAGGCTCCCTCCCTCCTGGTAGTTAACTCTCGTGCGGAGCCGATGGAGCCGGAGCCAATGCCTGCGGCGGGAAAGCTGGGAGCTGTGGCGCTGGGCCGGGAGCGCTGGCTTGGCTGGAAATCCTCTTGGAAGCACATGGGGTTTGTGGAGCATGAGTCTCTCTGATGGGGGTGTGGGATCTGATGGGGCAGGAATTAGCCCCACAGCTCCCACCGGGAACGTGGGGCACAGCTGGATGCAGATGGGAATGCTGCCTTGGTGCTCAGCTGGGGCGGGGGGCCCAGAGCACCCCACTGCCCAAACGCCTCCGCTGCTGAGAGATAGGACTGGGCCTCCCTCAGTAATGTTAATTTATTTAATTGCACGGCTGCTTTTGCTGGCACTTTATCCCTTGTCTTGTCTCTTCTGCCATCCCATTTTCTGTAGAGTTGTTGTGGCAGCGATGACTCCCTGGCAGCGGAGAGGCAGGTGCCATGGGCACTCGCCATGCTAGCTGCTCCCCAGCAGCCTTGAGGCTGTTACTAAGGGCAGGATTAATCTAAACCAACTTAGATATTAGCTTCCTAATTTGAGTCGTCAGTCACCTGTCATGGGTAAGGAGGGAGGCACGGGGGTGGTGTGCCCCCCAAACTGCCCATGGCAAGTCAAACCCGGGAGCTTCCAGGAAGCTGCACACGACAGAGGTGCTGGATGAGGTGCTGGATAGGAAAATATACCCACAGAAGGAAAAGTAACTCCTTAAGAAAGCCCATCCTGATCACGGGACATGCTGGAGATGCTTCCCTTGTATCATCCCACCACTGCCAAGGCTGTGACCTGTCTCGGGAGGGGAGCGGTGGTACCAGCACCTATAAAGTCCCCATTGATGCTGGTTGTGCTGCAGCCCTGGCACCCTCCATCCCCAAATGGAGTGGGAATTTTGGGGGTTTTTTAGTGGCCACCTCAGCACAGGTTTCTCCTGTTGTTCCAGCTTTCAACATCCAAACCTGTGTTGTCTCCCCATGTGTAGCTCAGACTCTGTTCCAGCATCCTCAGCCACCCAGGCTCTTCCTGTCCATCGCACTATTGCTGCCCGCCTTCATGAGAACAGAACTTCTGCAGAGAATTTTAATTTTTTTTTTCCCAACCGCATCCTGTGAATTTTCTCTCTGCAGCATTTTTCCTTAGCTGTAGGCCTCAGTTATTTTCTGCGCTCAAAACTGTTGTTTTCAAGTTCTGAGACTGTAAAACACTATGGAGATTTGTGAAGGCATCTTGATATCGTCCCAGAACTGCTGTTCCTTGGCCAGGAGAATGAGGGGGGAGGACAGGCAGAAGAGATTTGTTGTTCTCTACAACGTAATCTCATGTTGGCTTTGAATTGCCACAAATTATAATGTAACGTTTAATAGGTATAAGCCAACGTTTCCAGTATCAGACCTCTCCTGAGAGAGCTCCTCTAAACAAGAGCAGTCAGAGAGGAAGATGGTATAATTTATCCCCACATGCTTGTTTTATCCCTAGAAGTTCTTATTTTAGTTTTCTTACTGCGATTTTATTCAGTTTCTAAAATGAAAATTCATGTGGCTATCGAATAGGAATTTTTTTTTTTTGTCTTGGTTATTTTTTCCATTTTTCTCTGCGATATTAAATCTTGGGAGTTCTTACCACACTACATAACCAAAATACACTCTCCAGACTTCCCAAGACCCTTCTGTTCACTCAGTGTCATTCGCTTTTTGAGTCCAGATCAAACTGCAGGAGTTACGGCCCTTGCGGTGCTCCTGATGGAGCTCTGGAGACCCGGGGCTGAGAGCTCAGTGGGAAGTGAGGCAGACCTGAGGGTGTCCGTGGATGTTGTTAAGCAGTGGCTGGGTATTTTATTGGAAAAGAACTTAAACCAGTCTCAATTGTTATTCCTAGACACTCGGTTGGTGCTAGGCTGCGTGTGACACAGTGGTTGTGGGGTGCTTTCATGGACTGGTGCCTGGCTGCTGGAGCAGTAGTGTTAGTAGAAGGTGGCATCTTCCTTGGTTGTGTCCTACAGCCCACGATGTGCCAGTCTGACATTCCAGCCTTCGTTCCAAAAAACAAACGTGACATTTGTTCCCACCTCACTGTAAATTCACTCCCTTCCATCCTGTGTCAGTCAGCCATCCACCGACCTTCTCTCCTCCAGATGTGCTCAGCAGTGAACTGCACCTTAAAAATCCCGATGGGTGGGGTGGGGGAGCAGGCTGTGTCCCAGCCGAGCGTGTCAGGAAGGCTCCTGGAAGTCTGCTGGCCATTCCCCATGCCTGCCCTTATCTGTCTCTGACAATGCATTAATCAAAGCAAACAGAAGTCACTCTTTCATCTGAAGGTCCCCGATACTCCCAGCAGCTTTTCTGTACTGGGTGGATCCATGCTGTCTAAAACTGTTTGGCTGATTTTTGTGTAAATGCAGTAAAGTATTTAGTCATGATTGAAAAGCAAGAGGTAAAATGCTAATCCAACCTCCCTTGTTTTAAACAGGAACAGAAATTCTTGGCAAATCAGTTCGTATTATATTCTCTACATTAGGAGTTTGCATATTTTTTGCAATTGGCTACATGTTGCTGCCACTGTTTGCTTACTTCATCAGAGACTGGCGGATGCTGCTGCTGGCGCTCACTATCCCGGGGCTGTTCTGCGTCCCGCTCTGGTGGTGAGTGCCCCCCCCCGCCACGCTCCCACTCCCCTCCCCGCCTGACGCTCTCTCGCCCTGGGTGCTGGGTAATGGCAGGGTGGTGGGGGGTTCCCTTTCTCCTCTTTGGTTGTTGTTTTTTGTTTGTTTTTGTTTTTTTTTTTTACTATTTGGCATGGGAGGAGGTTTTGCCTTGAGGCGGGAGTTGGGGGGATTTTTTGTTTGGGGTTCTTTTTGCCAGTTTTACATCAAGTGAACTACCTGCAGAGCCTCGCTGGTGCTGGCTGTGTGCTTGAAGCCACTTTTTCACCAGCTTTCCAGAGCAGCTTGGGAATTCTGTACTTGACTCCTAACTCCAGACACTGTTAATCACCTCTAGGTTTACCCCTGTAGTACCACTGCCTGACTCGTTCTAACTTTGCTTCCTTCCTTTTTTCTTTAAGCCATTTTTTAATGCGGTTTCACCTGCTGATTGGTACTAAAATCTCAGAGGAAGGCTGAGCCCGTTCACTTGGCACGCGGCAGCGAGCAGTTTCTTGCCCTCGACGTCATGAAGCAGCTCATTGCACTAGAAGTCGTTAAGCGGAGGCGTTTGCCGGCAGAGCTGGCCAGGCCAGCCCTCTCCCACGGCTCTGCGTGCCAGGAGCCATGTGTCCTCCCAGCTTTGCTTTGGCTGCTGGAGCAGGACTTTGATTTGTGAGCCCCTTCGGCCCATAGTAACTCTGGCTAAGCCAAAGGTTGGCTCTACCTTACCCTCCTCCTCTCAGACATCCCACACTGTAGTCTTGGTGGCTGAGTCCGTGTTTTCTTTCATCTTTCCGTCTCACTTGCCCACACTGCTGCTCTAATGCACTGCTGATGTGTGGGTGCACCCTCACCTGCCCTGAGGGACTGAAAAACAGTTTAGGAAAACTCCCTGTTCTCCTCAGGTGGACAGAAGCATTGAAGAAGGGCAGATGTCCTTATTCTGTTGCTGCCTTGGTCATCTGTTGTTTTCTGAAGAGATAAGTGTTTAGAAAATAAGGAGGGAAAGGCAAGGTACCATTCACACTTAAGGGTAATTTACAAACAGACAGAAAAGTAGTTCCTTCCTTTCCTATTAGTCTTATCTGGGAATAATTCTTCCTGTTATCTCAAAAAAGTTATACCTATAGGTAATAGATTAATGTCTTGAACAGTTAAGCAATTTAGACCCACTCTGCTATAGTCTAAAAGATCTCCTGCAGACCTCATTCTTGTCAGAAGTCTCTGCTGATGCTTTTGGTTTGTTGTTTGTTGTTTTCATCTTAGTCTTCAAACCAAACCTTTAAAATGGTTTTCAGCTCCACCTCTGCTATCATCTGATGTTTAGATACAGTCTGTTTCTGTTGAGGGATCAATTTGCCTATTTAACTTGAAATGTTTCAGACTCCTTCAACACAGCGGCATTTCCCTCTGCACCAAGCAGCTGCTCTTTGGGGAGATTGGTTTTGGGTGGAAGCCTCTCGAATGTCTGCTATAGAACAGGCACTATTAGGCACACAAAATTTGTCCCCAGAGTCCTGCTTTGAAATGTATTTGATGGGAATTGCCATGCTTTCTTGGAGCATACATTGTAAAGCATGCCAAAAATTTCCACAGATGGTGCTTCCAGCCTGGGGCCAGTGTGGGGGCAGATGGGGATGAAGGTGCAGCAGCAGAGCTCTGCCGAGGCTGGTCGGTGTTAGCTGGCATTTGGGCACCTGGACCTACTGCTCCCACGGGCAGTGTGACCTGCACGTCCCACTGCTCCGTGCCATAGTTGCTCTTTTATTCATTCCTCTTCCAAATTCTCCTGAAGGTTCCCAGTATCGTCTCTGCAGTCTTGTGTTCCTCCGCTTGCCCACAGAGAAGAGCAGTGGAGCAGCTCACCTCACAGAAAGGCACGTTAGCGGTTGAACAATCTGATAGAAATTATCTGACGCTCGCAAATGTTGACATGGCTTTGGGTCAATCCTTCAGGGAGTTCATCAGAAAAGGAGTGTCTGACCAGCTTTTTGCCAAGGAGGGGAAAAAATGCTGCTGGCTGAAGGGAGCAAGGTAGCATCTGTTAAGATTGAAGGATTTAGTTAAGGAAAGGTGAGATTTTTCTGTCCTGTGTTTGGTGTTAATTCACTCAACACGTGCCTGGAATTGATTAGAAAATGTCATCAGCTCCACAAGGGAACACTGCCACTGTCCTCTGCCTGGGAGAGCCTGCCTCAGAGCTGTGGTAAAATTGTGAGGTTTGTATATAAGATTCCTGTGACAGAGAGCCTTTAAATGTACCCTGTGCATACTTAAAGCATTTCCACATTGCGTGCAATTTCCCAAGAATATTTTTGCTCAACACTAGTTAAGCTGCCCCCATCTTTGCTGTCTATCTGTCAGGTGACATCTGTTTTGTTTTTTTTTTCCTGGTCGACATCAATTATTCCTTAAAAAACAACTACCCAAGACAAGGGCCCAATCATGCATCTACTTCAGCACGAGAATAAACACATCCCATATATTTGAATTCTCCCACTGATCCCATTGGGACAAATCCATGAATTACATTGCCTACATGCTTCTGTGCTGACTGTCTTCTGCTGCAAGCAATCTGTGAGATGAGAGCATAACTCATAAAAATGATACATGTGTTTTTAATAACGTCTTACTTTCATGAAAACGTTGAGTCATTTATTCTGAAACTTATTGCAGGATCATTCCTGAATCCCCTCGGTGGCTGATCTCACAGGGAAGATATAAGGAGGCAGAAGTTATTATCCGAAAGGCTGCAAAAATAAATGGTGTTCCAGCCCCAGCCGTGCTTTTCGACACTGCAGAGGTATGTTTAATCCGTCCTGGTACTTTACCTTGTGGCAGTTTCCCCCTTTGCCTAGTTGGGAAATGCCAGCAGAGAAATGGTTTGTACCAGCAGCTCTTAGAGGCTGGCAGTGACTGTTGGTGTGAGGTAAGTGCTGGGTTAGCGAGTTCAAAATGAGAAGCCAGAGGGGGGTTTTGTTTGTTTTTTACAGTAAAATTCTCTTCCTCAGCAGTGGTTGGTTGTGGTTTTCAGAGCAAGGGTGACCCAGATTGTTTCATCCTTTGGGCGCTGAGAAGAACCGAGGAAGTCGTGTTTGTCCCCTTCATGGTATTAGCAATTTGCAGTTTAACGGCAGCCCTTGGTGGGGGGGCTGTGCAGGGGACCCTCAGTTGGCACCCATGTGTGCCAGGGCTGTGCGGAGCCCCCAGGGACTCCTCAGGTTGGACAAACCAGCCAAAGCACCCGAGTGCTATGAGGACACTTGAAAACTCTGAAGGTAGTGAAGGCAGTGAAGAACATTAAGCTTCTTTTCAGGCCTGTTTTTTTCTTGTATTTCAATACTTATTGGTTAAAAGGAGAAAGCCTAGCACCCCAGCAAGCCCGGGAGCAGCACAGCCGCGGCAGGACAGCTGGTTCTTGTGTTCCTCTCCCCCCCTCTAGTGGCTTTGCCCTCACCGGAGCTCCTGCTGAAGAGCCACAGATGTTTTTCTTGTGTAAAGAAACCAGCAACGCTTCCAGCTCTGCGTCAGCAGCGACCGTGTCTCTATGTCAGATCTTACTTCCCTGCATTGTACCTAGCACCTGCATTTTATGCCTCCTGATAGAGCAGAAAGCAAAGCTGCTGCATGCTGCACCTCCCGTGGGCAGGATCCTTCTCTCGAGTGTCATCCTTACATGCTGGCTGAGCTGTTGAAGATCTCTTTTCCAAGTGTATTTCTAATGTAAATTGAAGTGCATATTCTAGTTAGGGGAAGCTCATCCTATGGAAACCACGAAAAAGCACTTCCCTCACTTCACAGCCAGAGTTCAGATGTCTTTCGTACTGGACATGACTTTTTAAAGCTCCAGCACATGAGTTTGCTTTTCATTGCTCCGGTGTACTTTTGAGACCAAGAGGCAGCCCAGCTGTCCTTTACTTCGTGGGAATCTGGTGTGCCAAAGCGTCTGTCCACAAAACATCCCGAGGATGATGTCTGTGCATTAAGTCCTTCATTGGAAGTATTTTTTAAATGTTGCTAGGAAGACATTCCTCAGAAACCATACTCTCTATCTGGGAAAGGAAATCTCCTGGGTAGCCCCATGGAGGGAGGCCGAGGTGATTCACTCTTTGGGTTGGGGGGGAAGCCTGACCACGAGCGCTGGCTTTGCCCCGTCGAGGGCTCTCTGTGCAGGCAGAAGGGCACCCTAATGCCACCCAGAAGATTCCTGCTTCAGGCCTCAAACTGGACCCTCCGTCTCTGATTTGGGGTGGTGGATGCTCCCACGATGTGCTCTGGGCACCACACCGAGCTCTGGCCTCTGCCCCCATCCTCGGCAGGGTGCCAACAGGCAGGCAGCAAAACTGGGTGATTTTCTGCATTTATTTCCCATCATTTGCGAAGGTTGAACAGAAGAGAGTCCAGCGGACAGTGTACAGGAAAATGCCTTTGGTGATGAGGTTACTCCTGGAATTACTGTGTCAGGTCCTTAAGGAAATGTTACTGCGTCTTTCTTGTCAGCTGATACTCCTTTTTAATTAATCGGCATGGTGCAGTGGTCTCAGTGCTACCTTTTTTTTTTTTTTAACAAAAAAATGGAAATTTCCACGAGTACAGCTGGGTGCAGAGACAAGCTCTACCTAAGGACCGCCCTCCCCGGTGCAGAAGTGGCCCTTGGGCTGACTAGTTACCCCCTGATAGAGTCATAACTTCATAACTGCCCAAACTTGTGGGTATGCAGAGGTTGTTTTGCTCTTAGGTGTGTGGGAATTTTTTTGGTTTTGTTTTCCTTTTTCCTTCAGATGCAGGATTCGAAGCCTCAGCAGCAGCAGAAGGCTATCCTTCTGGACCTATTTCGAACCCGAAACATTGCAACTATTACTATTATGTCATTACTTTTGTGGTAAGGAAATGTGTATTCCTAAAGTACCCAGGCAATAGAACAATTTCTGATTTGAGGGCACATGCCACAGGTTTAGATAATAAGTCTCAGCCTCGGAGCCCATCTACACACGGTCCTTGGCCTGTACATGGCCCTTGGTGTCCTTGCACCCGCACTGCATTAATGCACAAGAGTATGGAGACAGTAGCCTCGACTCAGATGTACAATAGTTAGGAAACTATATGTAACAACCTGTATATTTTAAATATTCTGTTGCTTTTTTTTTTTTTTTTAAGAAGCTCCCATCTCTGTAATCTCTATTTGAAGAGAAATGTCCTTCTTGAAGCAAAGGCAGCAACTCAGTAACATAACAAGGAGCAGACCCATGGCCAGCGTTTTTGTCCTGTTTCTGTACAGTGCCCATCTCAGTGAGATCCTGGTCCCTGCCTGGGCAGCCACGAGGAATGAGGACCCAATAATTCCATATAGACAAACCAGGACCCTTTTCTGTCCATATTTCCCCCAGCAGAAAGGAACTGGCTAGCACACTTGGCATGCCATAGTAAGGCACTCTTGAGATTTGAAACCCGAACGTCCAGCTCTCTCGTGAAGATTAAATAAGATGTCACGGAACTGCTGAGGGTGGGAGATCCTGTCACTGGAGTTGGCTACAAGTAGGAGCATAGTTGGCATGGGAAGCTTTCAAGAGTTATTTCATTGTGCCGTTAATGAGCCCATTGCAGTGAAAAGCCTTTGTGAACGACTTCCACAAAGCCTTTTACTTGGTGTAGTGTATGCAGGAAGGACAGAGAAATCAGAGGTGTCTTCAAGCCGCTGTGGATGGTCACTGGAAGGGATGACAGAATTAGAAAGATGGGGTTGCCACTGAGATTTTTTTTTTTAAGCCACAATGTCTGGCGATGCTTTGCGACATCCTATTTTTGTAACAACATCTGAGGCAACACTGGAGGCGTTCAGAGACTGGTGTTTCTGGAATAATTTGGTTTTGTTGCTTTTCTCAGGTTTTTCACATCAGTTGGTTACTTTGGCCTGTCCCTCAGCACTCCAAACTGGCATGGAAATGCCTACATCAACTGTTTCCTCTCGGCTGTTATTGAAGTTCCAGCTTATGTGATTGCCTGGCTTCTCCTCCGCTCCCTCCCTCGGCGCTACTCCTTGTCTGGCACCTTTTTTTTAGGGGGAGGTGTTGTCCTCTTCATTCAGCTGGTTCCTGCAGGTACAAGATTCAATACATTACTTAAGTATATAAAACATTAGAAATACTTTATCTAATAGTTCTGTAAAATTACTAGAAACCATGATTAAATTTAGAATTTGAGGTTAAGTTTATGCTGATCACTTGCAGCCATGATTTTTTTAAAAATACATATGTATGTGCTGAGTCATGCACAGCTCTCATTTATTGTGTCAAATTACTGAGCTTTTTATAGTCCAGGGGAACCAGCTTGTAAAAGGAGAGCCAAAAGTGTACTGTGATTTATCTGGTTGTGCATAGAGACTAAAAAAAAAAACCTGCAAGTCGTCCAGATTTCACTATGTGTAAATCTCCACAGGATTTTGTGAAAAAGGGGTGAATTTCAGCTTGTGCTTTGTTGCTGTGTAATCCAGAGTTTTGTTCAGTTTCAACAATGCTGTTTTATTGAGAACCAAATCTGAAAAGTAAAAAATAACCCAAGCATCTACATTTTGTTTAGTGGGAAGTCTGGAGCCAAGTCATCTAGGGATGAAGCTAATACATTGTATAATTAAAAAACAAACGAAACCACTCATAACTGCTAGGAAAACTAAAATAGTGATATATGGTCTTTGGGTTGTAAAAAAAACAAAACAAAACAAACAAACAAAAACCAACAAGTAATAAGCACAGAGTGTTATTTAATCCCCTCGATTTTATTTTTTCTCCTCCAGATTTTAACATCCTCTCTGTTGGCCTGGTGATGCTCGGGAAGTTTGGCATCACAGCTGCATTTTCAATGCTTTATGTCTATAACGTGGAGCTGTACCCAACGCTGGTGCGAAACATGGCAGTCGGAGCTACTTCCACAGCTTCCAGGCTGGGCAGCATCATTGCTCCTTACTTCGTTTACCTGGGTGAGTTACCTGGGGGAGACGTTTTGCATTTCTTGCCTTGCACTACACAACTGCCCAGAGAAGTGATCGGAGCTTCCGCAGCACAGGCTCAGCTTTAAGTCCCTTCGTTTATGGTCTAAATCTCTTCTCTCACCTTGGGTCTGAGTTCAGTCGTACAGGCTAGAAATGAAGCAGAGCTCCTCGGGTTTCACAAAAGAATCAGACTTTTTTCCTTTCTTGAGGCTGGGGTCTGTTCTTATAGCACCGGTGTGGGCCCAAGCTGGTCCAAGGCAGTGACTGTTCCTAAACTGTGTGGGCCGAGTGGTTGGGATGATAATTGGTCACATCTTGGCAAAGGGTGTCACCCCTGGGATACCAGGTGGCTTCGCAGGAGAGCATGACGAGAAGCAATGTAGCAAGGATGGAAATCTAACAGTAGGAAATTCATTGCATTGCACTCACCTTGCACATCCCCAGATGGGTGTTCCGGGAGCAGGTGACCCAGGCAGAAACCCAAGCATCCCCCGAATCTGTGTGCTAAAGCAGCACGTGGCAAACATACAGATTAAGCAGCACACGAGTGTGGTTAATTGTGACCTTCGTGATCTTTTTTTTTTTTTTAAAGCAGAGTTATTGATTTTCTTGTAGGCTTTATTTTGACACTCATGTTCTTAATTGCTTTTTAAAAAAAAAAAAAGTACACAGAAATGATCCTCATGTTGCAGACAGGAAAGGGTGACAGAGATTAGGGGACTAAGGGTGGAAGTACCTGTGAATACCAGCTGCTCAGTCCAGGGTGCTCAATCTCCCATTTCTTTGGCTCACACATGATTGATTTCCTTCTGCCATCACTGAACCCAACTCAGCTCTCCCCTGCACCTAACGACTCTTCCTTCCTGCTGAGACTTTTGGTACAAACCGAGCCTGACTGCTGGCTCTGGTGGAGCATTGCTGGTGTACTGCTGAGGGGTGAACGCTGCCTCACTGTGCCACGACAGGAGGGAGGACACTACTGGCTGTAGCTCACCTCTGTTGTCTCACCTCTACATTCCAGCGTGACTGTACCAAAAATGATGAAAATACAATGTCTTTATTGTGTACTTGTACACTGCAAATGGAAAGTAAAAGGGACAGCAGGACTGTGATGCTCCTTAGGGTCTTCAGTCTCCGTTGCAGAACCGGTAACAGTAATAGTGATGTAGACAAGATAAAGTTTTTACTGTTGTGGGTTTTTTTTCTCCAAGTTTCCAAAGGCTCAGCTTTTAAAAAATCTTGTTCTAGTCCTCAGAATAGTTTCCTAAACTTTAGGAGGTTTTAGGAGAGACTCGTCAGCTGCTGCTATTTGCTACGGCTAAATTAGGATCTCGCAGCTCATCCAGCTCATGAACACAGAAGAGATCAAATCACCAACTTTGGCTCTGTGTGACATACCCACGACTCTTCACTTTAATCCTAGCTTATTCCATACAATATGAAGCATACTGCTTTATGCCAACTAAAAAGTAAAGCTGTCAAGTCCAGTTTGGTACTTTGTCTACCTTAAATACTTTAGCTCCTAGCTAATCCCTTTACTGAAAGACCTTTTCATTGCTGTGCTCTTGTGACATGACAGTCTTGCATCCTGCCCAAACACTTGTGTGCTAGCTTCAGGCTGCTGGCAGGGGCCGCTGCCTTCCAGTCCAAAACCAGATCCTCAGGAGACCAAGGTCAGAGCTGCTTGTCTGTCACGGGAGGCCTGATGCTTTTTCCCCTTGCCGTGAGGAGGGTATTGAAGGATTCCCCTGTTACAGCCTGTTAGTCTGAAACTGGCCTGTTTGGCTGCTATCAGTCTCTTCCCTTCCTTTGCACAAGGCCAGCAGGATTCACAATCCCAGGCAGCTGATGAGTGCTTAGTTGCTTATGCGCACTTTTATTCCCTCACACTGAATTATTTAATGGAGGATTTGGTTCCTGATGACAGTGTAGCACTAAAGACTCCAGCAGTGAGCCTAGCAGAGCTGTTACCTTGCAGAGATGTTGGCTATCCCAGTTGAAAATGTACAAAAAACCTAGTAGCCAGTACACAAACATGGGCATGAAACTGATGGTAGGTGTTGACCATCCTAGAGCACATGTCATAGTTTTAAAACTGAAAAATCCCTTTGTTTGCTGGCAGATAACAGGCGTCACTCAGTTTTTGGATTCACCTTTGATATTTATGAAGATTTCAGCTAATTACTCTAAATTAATTCTGCATTACAGCAATGTCTGGAATATAAATTTTACACGTGGTTTTGTTGATTGTGGACGTTAAGTCCTGTTGTCCTGCCCTGTGTTCTGCCAGGTGCCTACGACAGATACCTGCCGTATATCCTGATGGGAAGCCTGACTGTGCTGATCGGGATCCTCACCCTGTTTCTCCCAGAGAGCTACGGCAATCCCCTGCCCGAGAGCTTTGAGCAAATGCTGAAGGTGAAATGGTAAGGCTGCTCTCATTCATCCCGTGCTTCACCTCAGGACCTCTTTCTACACAGTCCCTTTTCCTAACCTGTAAACATGTTTCGTCAGATCCACCGCAAAGCACCAAAGCTTTCAAAGTGCCCTTTAGATTTATCTTTTTGGTTGTTAATTTGACAGACGTTGACATGCGGTTTCTCCAGTATCTCTGAACCTGGGAGCTGATGTGCTTGAAAGCGAGCTCTCACAAAGCAACGCTGACTTTCTCATCACCTTGAGGCTGTTGCTTCATATCTCCCAACGCTTTCCATCCTTTGATATAATTCATTATCCTTAATTCTTCATTTAGTAGGATGATTTACGTTACAAAACACTTTACTCTTCCAGTGTAAGTTCTAAATTAAACACAGGGTTTCAGTCTCCTAGCCTCTTTTCATTTGGGAGGCTAGGGACATGCCAGGACAGCTTTTCTCCTGGTTTATTTTCTTTAGCTGTAAGCACTGATGGCTCTCTTGCCCCACCACCATTGCTATTTAGGGTACTCTGAGCAAACATCTCCACTGAAATCTGTGCGTACATTGCAGTGCTGGTGCAGTGCGGATGGCCAGTGTTTGCTAGTTACTATTGTGGGAGGAAAATTCTTGGGAGCAGCAGAGAGAATTAGCCAAAGTGCAGCTGCATAGGTGCCATCCATCTTACTGAGAATTTGTACTGGGGCAGAATTTGTCCTTATAAGCAACAGTGGCTTGAAAAAGCTGGAATTGCCTGTATCTAATCCCTGGTTGGTATAAGGAGCTGTCATACTTCCAGAATAAGAATTCTCAGGCCAGGTTCCTTGAGGAGGGCATGCTGCTTTTTATCATGATTAGGGACTTCTCGTATGGCTTTTGGCTTTTCAGCTTTGCAGTAGATGAACTATAGCTAGAAATCCTGGATTCAAACCAGATTCCTGTCACAGGCTTCTTGCATAAACAGACTGAAGTAACTGACTTACAGTCACTGAATTACATTTGAGTTCCAGGTGGTGTTTGCTGCACTACTTCTGCCATCCAGAAAGGTGTACTTTACAGAGCATTACATTTTTTTCTAATATTTGTGTTAGTAGTGTAACACGGTTATTTTAGAGGTGCTAATTAGAAGGGGGAAGTGTCTGATGACACCCTGTAAAATATTCTTTAGCTTCTCAGTCTTTGGCTTGCTTTCAGTTTCAGAAATGGGCAACAAACCACTGGCATTAGGAATTCAAAGGAGAGTCCTAAAACTGTGGTAACACCCTTGTGAAGAAGGATGCACACTCTCAGAGGGACTGAAAGAAGAACAAGATCTTCTCAAAATGTATTTTCTGCCAGAAGAAAACAAACCAAACCCAACAGTCAATGCTACTGCACCATAGTTGTTATTCCCTGTGCTACTGTACCCAAACACATAGTTTACTCAACAGCTGCTGTCTACTCCCATAGGGCTCTTAGTCTGTAATTCAGTGTCCTGACACCTGGGGTTTGTCAGCAGATACAGTCCCTGTTGAGAAATGGGGGCCTGCATGTGCTGAACGTGATTGATTTGAGGAGTTAAGCTTGAAATGAGCCTTAGGAATAATGCAGCAGAGACTCCACTTGGTCAGGTTCTCAATGAAAGCTGCTTAAAGGAGGGGGGAAAAAAAAAAAGATGGCAAACGTTGGCTTGCTGGTGGTTTCTCTGGCTCTGTATGTTCACTGGATGAAGGGGAGCTGGGTGTCTGTCTTTGAAAATCTCAGCACGTGCCCCTAAAGGAAAGATCCTGGCCTCCTTTGAAATCTTGGACCAAAGCCCAATAGATTAAGTCCTTTCAGAATTTAGTTGCAGCAAAGCAGACGTAGACTTCGCTGTAAGGACATGGTTTTTAAACAAGACATCGAGCATCTTCTGATGTCACTTGCTTTTCCCAGGACCTGGGGTCCACTTGTCCCTGTAAAAACTGATGCTTTTTCATAAAGCCTGAGCCTGCTGAAATCTGTGGGCTTCATGAATGTTCGGTGTCTTTGGGGAAGGGGGAAGCCTTTAACATAGAAGGGACTACAGCATGCTGACCTTCTGCTGGGCTGTGCCCACATGCAAAAGAAACGCGGGCTTTAGCAAGTCAGTGATGCTGTCCAAACCTGCCATGCAGTTTTAGCTTTCAGGTTTTCCATGGTAAATTGGCATAAGCAGTTTTTTAGATCTTTTGGGGTTTTCTTTCAAAGCATTTCATTTCTCCTTTGAATATATACCCCATTGTTCTGTACCTTCAGAGAAAGCTCATTGCAGTTTCAAAAGCTTCTGCAAAACCTTTCTACCATTTACAGATTTAAAGGGGATTTGATGCTTGCAAAAATCTGATCTTCTATACTGGAGATGTTCACCTGTAGCAGTTTTAATAAAACACAAAAGGGCTAATCTGGGACCACAGTTTTTTCAAAACAAACAAAAAAAAACCCACCAACAAAGTCAGTGTTTTGTATTTCAAACCCTACAGGTTATGTATGCTTTTTTTTTTTTTTTTTTTAAAGTTCAGCAAAACTAGACTGGATGAAAACAACTGTATTGCTTAGAGTTGTGCTACTACTGTTTTATGAACACTACAGAGTTTGAAAAAAAGTATAATACCTTTTGTTTTTCTATTTATTGGCTGTGCATGCACTTCTTGGCCACGTAAAGTCTATCAGACCTGTAGACTGATTTTTATCCTCTATAAATAACAATTAGCTATGATTCACCTTCTGTAAGAGCCAACAAAAACACACTGTCTCATCTCTAATGTGAGAGTTCACGGCAGGTTGTCTTGTGCTGGCACTTGGCACAGGAATGTGGCTCTCACTGTAAGTTCAAGAATAAATATAAAGCTTTATATCATTTAAATGCAAGGAACTTGTGCAATTATCTCAAGCTGCTCTTTGGGTTGAGGAAATACTATTTGCTTTCATGTTAATTTTCTGCAGTTATGCTTGTGCCATAAATGTAATGTGGCATGAGGCAACCATTATCCTGTGACCCCTGTCATTCTCATCCGTTCTCAAGCTGGAATTTCTCTAATAACAGCAGTATTTAATCTTGTTTTTACTTATTACAAAGTTAATCTATGGAATAGCTGTTTAGACAGCTAAATTTCTCAAAAAAACCCTTTATATCAGCATAGGACAGGTTTGGGGACTTGGTTAAATATAGGTGGCTGTATTTTTATGAAGATTTTTATATTAAGTTGATACTTATTTTATGTGATCGTAGGCTTGGGTGTGTCTAAAAGGCAAATATTTTTGTACTCTTGAACTTTGTAGTATCTTAAAACCTAGTTTTCTTTTTTTAAAATAAGAAAAAGCGTTGTGTTTTTTTAAATACCTTGTTTTAATCAGTCTCATTTTTCTTACACCATTGATCTCAAGCTAGTGTCACATTTTAGTATTTTTAATGACGAATTGAAAAAAAGACTCTTTTCACAAGAGCAGAATGTCTTTCTGAGAAGTACATGATGTTGTTAAAAGGCCTTACAGTGTCTGCACAGAGTAAAAACAAGAGGAGGAGATTGCAAATGCTTCATCAGCTGAAGCATGGAGAATTTTGTCCTCCACCAGTATCTTTCCCAGACTCACAGGGGGATTTCTGAAGAATCCCAAAGAGCAGTAGTCTTCAGAGGAATCAAACAGGGGTGAATCTGGAGGGCAGTAGTGCCTCTTTCCTAGCGAGTTACTATTTTTTTTTTAATTGTAAAGCTGGAGAGGACAAGCACTGGTTTAGTAGCTGTTGATGGAAATTAGAATTATTGCTAGTGAGCTATTTAAACCTCTCACTGCAACCCTCAGTGGATTTTCTATGTCAGATACTCAGCGGGGCTCGGTGCAGGCCCTGTGTGCTCACACGCATTGAGGGGGTTGTCCGTAAAGCTCTAACCTGGAGACGGGAGGGAAGCACCAGCTGGATCACTCCCAGGGACGGCAGGGGCCGTTGCGCTGTGCCTCATCTGTCACCTCTGTCACTTCGGTCTCTCTGTGTCACCTTGGATCCTCAGCTGGCTTATTGGGTCTGCTAAAGCATATATGAAACTGTAGTTAATTGTCACTCGTTAACTTCTCTCTTAATTGTAATAAAAACGTGCACTGGCATTGTATAACCTACTTTCTGTGTGGATTGTAATTGAAGAATAAAGTCTCCTACCTTTAACACTTTGTGCAAAGAAATTTAAAGAAGTAATTTAAAACGTATTTAGCATGGAAAAAGTATGAAAAAAACCCAAACTAGAATAAGTTTTTCCACAAAATGAGCTCTTCCACACAGGAAGACTATAATGTAGTACATTTTTTTCTGGCTTTCAGATGGTTCAATCCTGACTCTGCAATCATACAAAGCCCCAGACACAGACTCCAGCTACGCTCAAGGATGATTTTGAGGTTAAACTTCTATTTTGTCTATTTAATTTCACAACCGTGTGATTCCAGAAATGCTGTAAAAGGTATTTTACCTATTAGGCTGGTAAAACAGCTTTTATCAGTTAAAGGTGGAGAAAATAATCAGCCCCAAAAAAGCCAGTTGGAAATGTGAATTGGCCTTAGGGAGAGCAAAGCCAAATTCTGCAGTTCCACACAGCTTCTTGAGTCCTGGGGGAGACACGATCTTCCTGACAGTGCCACCAGGTAATAAGATGGGATTTTGGGGCTAAGAAGAGAATATTATTAGTCAAATATATTATTTATCAAACATCTAGTGCATGTTCCCTCAGAAAACAGTGTCATGGTCAGCAAAACGTTTTTACTGCCAGGCGATCCTGCGGAAGGGACAATGGCAGTCGTGGCGGCAACAAGGTGAGGAACCACTGAACACCTGGCTGGCGGAAAGCCGCCTGCCTTTGATCGCTAAAGGAGCAAAACGACCCATCGGTGAAGGCCCTTGGCTCGCGGAGGCCACAACCCAAACCCAGGCCCTACCGAAGAACCCCAGTAACGTGTAGCTGAGCCCTGGGGGTCACCGGCACCTGGGCACGGATTCAATTCGCCTCAAGCCCTCGGTTTCTGACGGTTTTGGGCAGTAAATATAACGCCTGCATTAATGGGCTGGAGTCAGCAGAGGGCAGGGGACTGGCAGCGCAGCCGGACCCGGGAGGGAGCCGGAAAGCGGCCCCGATACTTGCCCGGTGCCCGCAGGCCT